ACTCATGCAGTTCCTCCAGCTTTGGCCTCCCAAAGTGCATTTCATAATGGCAAGTTCTGTTGTCCTAAGGTAAACATCTGATCCCCCCCTCTCTGCTTTTGCTTGTGCTTTTTATCTTTTGGTAAACTTGGAATGTCAATTTTTATATCTAGATTATAGATTTCATTTCATCAAGGTCTGTCATCAGCAGGGAGAGTGGAATGTCAGATGGGACCTCATGAGTCAGAGTAGCAGTCTGGGTTTGTGAATCTTCCTCCAGCAACAAGTCATCAGTTTCCTTAGGTACTTGAGTGTGAAGCAGTACACCTGGTGCGTGTACTTAACTGGACTAAATGTCAAGAACTTGAACTGAGGACTGTTTGGGAAAAATAAACGTCTTAGCCAGGAACATTCCAGCCACCCACATGCTTTGGCAGTGTCAAACCGAGCCGGGTGCAGTCCCTTTTGCAAAAGTAACCATGCACTTGAATCAGCATGCATCTTCAGAATAAGAAAGGCCCTTGTCTTAGATGGATGTGGGTGTGTCTCAGGCGAGGCTGAGGAAATGCAGTTGGAACATACTTAGTATCTCTTGAGAAAGTAAAAGAAAGAGTTACCCACTCCAGAAAGTAAGGCTTGACAAATACTGTGTGCTAACACCACGCGCTTATTATATGCCAGGGACTGTTCAGCTAAGGGTTTACAGGTTTTAAATCATTTGTCTTGACATCCACTCTATGAGGTAGATACATGCGCTCCTCCCGCCCCCCCACATTTTTAACATCTCTGTAATCAGGATGGGTCTTTAAAACTTTGATTGTATGTCAAAGTTGAATTGGTCACATTTTTTTCTTACTATGACATAAAATAATCATGTGTCTTATAATCAATGGTCTTAGATTCCGTGAATTACTGTATGACTTACATTTTGAAGAGGAGGCATGAGAGTCAGTTGCCTTCCATGCACAGCTCAGTGACCAAGGTGGCTTGAGCCCCCAGCGAGTCTGTCCACGTCACGTGCTGGGGTCTGCCCTTCATGGGGCTTCTGCGATAGTGTAGCTGCATGGACACTGCAGTGAGAGATGTGCTCCAGGGAGGCATGGGCTGAACAATCTAGAAACGCTAATGCAGCCTTACAGTACGGCCAGGAGTTCAATTCCTAAAAGCTGGATGACAAAACAACTTCAAAGTCTAATGTTACCTGTGTTTTCTCTTTTTTTCTCCCTGAATGTTTGGTCCTTTTACTTTATACCTCTCCTATATACTTGATTTTCTCTGCCTGCAGTGACTTCTCCCCTTGGAAAAGAGTACAGGCTTTTCCTTTAAGTCCTGGTTTAAATGTCACCACTACCGAAGTAGGAATTAGGAGTTCAGGTCTGCCGCAGCAGCTTGCCATGCTGCCTGTGTTGCGTTGTGGTAATTGGCAGATGCCAATTACTGCATACCCAAGGGCATCTTGTTCATCTCTAAATCATCAAAGCCCCACACAGCAGGAGTGCCACAAATAACGACCGATAAAGGGAGCTTCAAAGTCCCTATTTCCTCCCTGAATTTGGTTCTTTTTGTGTCTTTTATGGAATATATTTTTATTTTTTTTAAAAGATGTGGGGTACAATTCAGGATTAGATATACAAGTGGTCGTTGTTCAGGTTTTAATTGAATTTAATGTTTTCATCTAAATTTTAGGAAGTAGTTTTTTTACATGATTAATATTATTTCCACATTATTTAACAGAGTGACATTTTGAAAATAATTACCCTTTTAACTATACTTTTGCTAAATTTTATTATAAAATGTCCATTTATTACAAGGTGTCTATTAATAGTGGATTACAGATTAAAAATATCATTTCTATATTAAGAGGCCAGTATCTGTAGCCTCAAGAATAGTTCCATTATGGATACATCTTGATTTTTTTAAATGATATGGTTAACTTACTTGAAATGCCTTAGTTTTTTCGAAATTGAGCTCCTTGTTGTCCTTAAGCATACTAAATGCCAGTGTAAATTTTACTGCATGTTTTGGAGAAAAGTAACTTGGAGGCTTCTGAAATCAACACAAGAGAGGGTCTCTCAGCCTGTTCTTTCTGTGACTGTTGGCGAGATCTGGGCTGTGTGATACTTGCAGTGGGCTCTTCAAGTTGTCTAAAGAAGCATTGTAATGGTGACTTTCAGCCAGACGGCAGTAAAACTTGCTGGATTTTAGGCAAACAGAATATTCCACAGGCTGTGGTACCCTTTGTGATCTGGTGTTTTTGTGGATGTCAGCAGGAAGCATCGGTGGAATTAGTCTGTCTAAGGTGCGGTGTGCCGAAAGGCTCCCATTCAAAGAAAAATATAAGCCGCGGTTATTTAGGACAGCACGTGTTTTCTTTAGTTGTTACATTTTGTTTTTCAGCTTTTTTTGTTTGCTTGCTTATTTTGTTTGCTTTTAAGTATCATTCTATTATAGAAAACTTATGCATACAAATCTGGTACTGTAGGTTGAAAAACCACAGTGCTTTCTGCTTGAGATGATGGAGTGGCAAGGAAGACATCCTCTGGCTTGGACTTTCTCAGCTGGAGGTGGCTGAAGTAGAGAAGCCTGTCTCTTCTGTTGCTTTGAAAGTTGTGTTCCTCCATTTAGCTGAGTGCCCGGCAACTTGCATCTCAAATTGACTGTGTTAAAGTAGCTATCAAAATTAGCCTAGACAGTTTAAAATCATGACTGGGTTTTGTGTTTGGTAAACAAAACACATGCCAGCAGATATTTACATGTAGTTAGTATAAAAAATAAAAATGTGGCACATTATCTTAACATCGAGATTTAATTCAGTGATTTGATCCAAAAAAATATTTCCTTCCCAAGAAGAGAGAACTTGTTTTAGAGTGTGGAATTCTGTAGAGCTGCTTTTCTGGACCAAGTTAATTTATTTTAATCAGATTGCAATACTATTTATTGTTATACTGTTTTTATTATTTTGCTGACAGGTATAGAAAAGCCTTTTCCATTGTCTAGTTAGCAGTTTTGTTTTTTTCCTTTGACAATTCCTTGTATTAGAGTCTCTCTATTGGAATAACAGGTATAGTTCCTGTCTTCTGACTAGACCCTAACTGATGAGATACAGAGACACAAACAGATCAATTTCAGATACTAGGCTTGAAAAAAAACTTTGTGTTATAAAATATGTGAAGATGAGCTGTCAAGTAGCATTCATTAGCAAATTAAGAATTTATTCCCTGGAAAGACCAATAGTCTATAAGAGAATGTGTGTATAGTGACTTTTGGCTAGTCTTCAGATCTATTTTGCTGTGGGGTTTTTGTAATACGGATTCATCAGATTTGAGCTGTAGTTTTCCACTAGCACAACTACCGAGAAACAGGGAGTGGGTAGTAGTGAGGAGGAGAACGAAAGTGTGCATTGTAAGTGCATCTTCTGGGGAGGACAGACTGGTTGTTGCAAGATGTTGGATGGTACTGCCTTCTCTGTAAAATCATGTTGCTATCCCAGACAAATCGCATAATCCCAGACACCAAAGACTGATCAAAGTGTGCGTCTGTCTAGACTCTCATAAAAAAAACCAAAAATCAAATAGCAACCAAAAAAAAGTAAAGAAAGGGAAGATAAATTCCACAGAATTAGCACCTACTTATTTACAACTTATAACTTTTATAGAAAATAGATGTGTTACTAACTTTTAACTTGATTTAATAGATGTGTCTAAAGAGGTAGAAATGCTAAAAATATGGAATTTTCACCTTAATTTTAAACATTTACTAGATTTTTAATAGGTGGTTTTTACTATATGGCCATTATTAAAGACTTGCTGCCAGAGTGCTATTTTTTTTAGGGAAATAACTTAATTGTGTGTACCTACAGTTCTTTCTTTACTCATCCTTGGTTATTTATGGAGCGTAATTTTGTTTTTGGAACTAGAATTCATTTGTAATAACTGGGAAGAATTAAGAATTAACTGTTTGTATTTTACTTAGAAACAGGTTATTAAAAATCCTTGAAACATTAAAAAAACTGCTCAGGCTGCATATATAATTACAAACGCTTAATAGTGGGTATGCTGCCTTCCTCGTCCAGTTTCTCCCCAACAGGATAATGCTGATTTTTACTTTCCCTTTCTGTCCTGCTTCAGAATTGTGACCCTGGCACCAGCTCTTCCAGTATTTAAGTTGCTTGTCTTGCATTTGTATACCTTTTGTGTGTCTTGGCCGTATAAATGAATAACTGGATTGAGAACAAATTGTGTGTTCTTTTGATTTATATGTCTTTGGGTCTTACCCTTCTCCACCCTGAAAGGTTCAGTATCATTTTTGTTCTGTAATATTTCTCGTAGCAGGCACCTTGACCTGACCTTAACGGAGGGTTGGACAAGTGTAGCTTGCTGTTGATTGTTAATGAAGAACTAGGGATGAAATTAAATAATGCATATTTTATGATAACCCCGTGGTTAGTCTAAACCCTCACTCATTTGACATATTGGAGTCTAAATGCCTCTAAAGCCCCCGGGAATCTCTTGGTGGTCTTGATGTTTAGCTGATGTAACCCATCCAGAGGCAGCGGACAGGCTATGTTCCCATTTATACAGGACTGAGGGGCTTCCTAGTCAGGGAGCTTCCTGTTCAAAACCAGTCTCCAGACAAACTGACGTGCCGTGTGTTACAGCAGCTGAATAGGAGCTCGTCTCCACAGCTGCCTTTTGTATCCCTTAACCTTTCCTTTCCTAACTGAAGTAGGAATGGGAATTGGGCATAAAGGCTAATCCCTGAGAAGAAAACCTGAGGCTGTAGGAACTGCCAGAGCCTCAGCGTTTAGGCGTGAGGAGCCTCTGCTGGGCTCTTACCCCCACACTGTTAGGGTATTAATGTTTACCATGTGCCTCATGAATGGGTAATGTGCACCTGGGCGATACAGCGAAGCATAGAAGCCTTGACTCTGTGATTTCAAGGATCTTAAACAGGGTCAGGATAGCCAACCTTACATAGCAGCTGTTGTTTAAAACACTGCTGTGTTTCACTGTCACAGGTGATGATTCGTGTGAATACCTTCTCTCAAGTGGCAGATTTCTTGGAGAGAGAGTTTGGCAACCTCACAGTTGTATGATGCATAAATACAGAATCAGGTAGGATTTCCTCATTTTGTTGTTTTCTTTTCTAGGGCAGGTCTTCATATCTCACAAAGAGGGGTTGGTGAAATGGAGCATCCTCTATATAAGACCTGCTGACTGAGAGTATAAGGTGGGCTCTTTCCAAAGGAAGAGTTCTGCCCTTGAGCAGGAGGGAGGGGGCTTGGGCCAAGCTGCTTCATCTCAAGTGAAGAGGGACCCAGATCCAAAGCAACACCCTTGAGCAGAGGACTCTTGGCAACTTAGATCCCAGTCTTAGGGAGTTAGGCTGAGGTTAAATGGTAGTAGCTACGAGTTAGTGCTTAATACAGTTGGAGTCCATCCTAAGCACTTAATAAATGGGGCTGTTATTGTTGAGAGTTATTGGTCATAGGTACGGGACTAGTTAATCTGGTCCCCTACTTCTGAAGCAGCATTACAACGTTCTTCACAAACCATGTGCTTTGAAATGCCAATATGCTGATTTACTCATTTTAGTTAATGTTTCTTTGTTGATTTCAGTGAAGCAAAGAACTGCCTTGTGGATAAACATATTGCATTTGTTGGAGATTCCAGAATTCGTCAGTTGTTTTATTCTTTTGTAAAAATAATTAATCCTCAATTCAAAGAAGAAGGAAATAAGGTAAAGCCTGTCTGTTCCCTTGTGTAGGGTGTTCTTGAAGTTCACCAGCTGCATAGTGATGGGAGGAGTCTGTCCAGAGTAACAGTAGGAACTGTCCAAGTTTTACTTTGATTTTGGGAAAGGGAAAAGGGACATGATTTGGTCTTATGGGGAACGCGAGAAAAAGACCTGGTAGGTGAGGTCTCTGCAAGCTCTTAATTAACTTAAACTTTTTGTTTTCAGAGATAGTGCGTTCTTACCATGGAAAAATTTTTTAAAATTCCATAGAAAGAAGACAAAGAGAAAATAACATTTCTTATCCTCCTGGTAATATTTTGCCCTATTTCTTTTCAGTCTTTTTTTTTAAACATACTTGTAATTTTATATCTTGATTTTTCTCCACCACTTATCATAATTCACCAAATTATATAATCAACGTAAGTATCTTCTTAATGGCAGCATGTTATTGAGTGGATATAATGCAATTTTGTATAATCTTCTCTTTTTTTAAGGTTTTCGTAATTTTCTAATTTTTTTGCATTTAAAAAGAGGACATTTTAAATTCCTTATTTGTGTGAAAACTTTGCTTTTTAAATTATTTTCTTAGGGTGGAATCATCTCTACAATGCAAATGTTAGGTTAAGGAATATAAACATTTTTAAAATTATTGATTATATTGCCAAATGATCTCAATTCATACCTAATTAGCAGCATATGTTGGGACCTAATTGCCCGCAGCCTTGTGGCCTGGGTGATCAGGCTGTAAATTAAAACAGCAATGCAATTAGTTTCTGGTATTGATTTTGTTAGAAAATTTTCATTTTCAAAATACATCTTTCTTTGAAAACTATCAAGGATCAATACCTTTCAGTATAACATTTTTTAATTAGTCAATCATTTGTCGTGAATTTTCTCATCCTATCCTCCTGTATGTATGTTTTAAATGGTCCAAGGTTCTGATTCCTGTCTTCAGTCTGTGATTGGGAGGGGGGATGGCAAGAAGAGAAAAGTGGATACTTTGTTGGGGGGGCACCTAAATTACAAAGCTCTGCCTGGATGCCTCGCCTGGGTATGGAGTTGGAAGCTTGGGGCTTTCATAGCCAAGTAGCTACTCACATTGTGGTGACAGTAGTGGGTCCTAAGTCCTCAGGAGCCATTTCTTGTGAGAGTGATAGAAATGGAAGCCAGCTTTTCATTTTACTTGATCTCTGTACATGTATTTTCCAACTGTATTTATACAAGAAAAACTATATAAAAGAGTTGGAACTATTTAATAACATTAAATTATTATAATTTAAAGTAAAAAACTTTGGTTTTTTAATAATCTCTCCACTTTGCTTAAAAAGTGGAGAGATTTCTGACTTTGGGCTTGGAATTGTGTGACTTTCTGAAAATTGGATTAATGGGTTTGGCAGCAGGTAATTGAGAAAAGCATGGTAATGGTTCCTACAGCCAATAGTAGATAGAATATGGAACGTTGTTTCTGAGCCCCAATTATAACACATAGGTTTTCAGTTTTTATTTTCTAAGTACCTAGTTACCACAGAATTACTAAACAAGATACATTTTAATTTATATGCATTTAAAAAGAAACAAAGACGCTGTATCCCAGTCTTAAGGAGATAGTTGTCGTTATGGTGATAAATTGAAACTGCTGGTGAAGTGTTTGCTAAATTCTGTTTTATATGTCCCCTTGTCTCTGGACCCACTGAGAACAAAAATTGCATGTCATTAAGTGTTTTAAAAATTCATTTATTGTGTCCAGCACAATCTGGCACATTGTAAAAGCTCATTAATTTTGTTAAGTGTGTGTATGTTTGGATGGAATAGGAGTATTAAAGATAGTTCTTCATTTGAATTCTTCTCTGTGTTGAGGCAAACTTTTTAGAGCTGAACTTCTTTTCAGATTGTACTTTGAGGAAGACTAGTTCTGTAGGAGGCTCTGGTCAAGGGAAACTTGGCAGAGCTGGACATCTTGTTTCCCTCTTAGACGGCTTCCGCTGAGGCTAGGATAGTGAAAACCTGAGAAGTCTTCAGTAAAGAAAGTCGTTTGTGTTGCCTCCAGCCACGAGGCAGGCTTGAGACCCTGGGGACCCTTTCTGCTTCAGATCAACTAGAGCCAAGATTTTCAAAAATACCATGGATGCTTTTTGCAACTTTGAGGACACAGGAAACACTTCTTAATAGAGGAGCAAACTGTTTGGCAGAAGCAGCGATGAGAGCAGCAGTGGCAGGTGGGCGAGGTCCCTAGAGGGCACATGCCACAGTGGGTTGGTTCCCTGTAGGGAGGAGACCAAGCTTGGACCAGCGCGTTTCTCATTAGCCAAGCTGGAAGCCAGAGGACAGAAGAGTAGTGGCCTTAGCTCTGGGGAAAGCACGTTTCAGCCTAGAATTGTATGCCTTGAATAAAAATGTCTTATTCTTGAAATATAGGACATTGGCATTCAAACACTGTGAGGGCTCACTGCTGAGTAGACTTAGTAGGTACTCTAAAGGAGATTTTAAAAGATTAGCATCAGGGAGGAGGGACATGTCCAGAAAAAAGTGATCTGAAATAGAAGAAGCCATGGTTAAAGAATATAGTAGACATGTCTGTAAATCAAATCCGTGTCTGTGTAAAGTAATAATGCCTTTTGCCCTTCGTGAGAGGCAGAACTAAAGAACTGGCCAGTAGTTGCATGCAAGTCAGAGGGAGATGATCACAATTCAGGTGTTCTAGGTGGGGCATGGTGGCTCACATCTGTAATCCCACCACTTTGGGAAGCCAAGGTGGGAGGATTGCTTGAGCCCAGGAGTTCAAGACAGCCTAGGAAACATAGCAAGACCTCATCTCTACCAAAAAAAAAGTCAGGTAAAGTGGTGTGCACCTGTAGTTCCAGCAGTTCAGGGAGCTGAGGCAGAAAGATTGCCTGAGCCTGGGACGTTGAGGCTGTGATGTACTATGTTTTGTCTTTTTTTTTTTTTTTTGAGTTGGAGTCTCACTCTGTCACCCAGACTGGAGTGCAGTTGCCGTTCCTGGCTTCTGAAGCCTCGACCTGCTGGGCTCCGGGGATCCTTCCGCCTCAGCCTTCCAAATAGCTGGAACTACAGGCACGCGCTACCACACCCAGCTAATTTTTATTTTTTTATTTTTTTTTATTTTTGAGACTTGCAAGAGGGTAACAATCAGTGTATAATCTAGATAGGGGTGTACTGTATCAACTGACCTAAGTTTACAAAGAATATAATTGATAATAAAACAAATAATATGTATATAGTAGAATGATATGTACAAATTTTTAAAGGCCAGAAAGGTTCTAGATTAAGTAAGAATAAAGAGACATGACAACTAAATGTTATACCTGATTTTAATTGCGTTCCAGGTTAAAATATAAGAGCTATGGAGAGGATATTTTTGGGAGATTGAAGAAATTTGAGTGTGGGCCGTATATTGAATGAGATAACGTTTTAGCAATGTCAGGTTTCTCAAGTGGTATTATAGTGTTTTGATTATGTAGGAGAATATTCATGTTCTTAGGAGATATATGCCGAAGTATTTAAGGGTAAAATGTTTTGACGTCTACAGTTTATTTTCATCTAGTTCAGCAAAAGAGAAATCCTACATACAGTATCTTTGTGTATAGAGAGAGGGGGAGATGAAGTGGTATAGAAAATGTTAACAATTGGCAAAGGGTTTAGGTGGTCATTTAATTCTGTCAACTTTTCTGTGAGTTTGAAATTTTTCAAAATTAAAAATTGGAGAGAAGCCGGGCTCAGTGGCTCAGCCTGTAATCCCACGCCTTTGGGAGGCTGAGGTGAGTGGATTGCCTG